GACGTGGTTGTCTCAGCTGCAGGAATTGTCCATGGAGAAATGCCCACTGTAGATCTGGGTCCCGCTGTGGATGAAGAGGGGGTTGATGTGCTCACGGCTGTGATGGTGCTGTCTTGATTCTCTGCGGTGGTTTCCAGACTCTGAGTCTGGGAGGTCTGAGGAGACGTTGATTTTGTCTCACGAGAAGTGGTGGAAGTGGGTGAGGTTGATTGTTCCACCACTCCCCTTGTCGTGGTGACTGCCAAAGTGACTGGAGATGTACTTCCCACTATTGATTTTGATGTGTTGTTTATAGAAGTTAGAAGAGATATTGTTGTGTCCGTTGTCGAAGTGCCTTTAAATATAAAATTCAAAGAGTAATGAAACATAACATTTTCTTTTTGTTAGGCTGGAGAGTTATAACCAAGTATTGTGCACCTGGAACCTTCTGAATCACTGTGCTTCAGATATAATGGTTGCAGAATTAATTATTTAACTATGTCTCTGTTTTCTACCAATGTTGGCTCCTAATCATATGTAGTACTGCAATGTTTATCTTTGTTTTTGTGTTTTCTCCTTTACTGTTGGTTTATAGGTATAGTCATTGAAGTTGGCCCAGTACATTCCTCCTTTTCCCATATCAGGGTTTTATAGACGCCAAGATCCCTGAGCTTTTTCAGTGTAAGAACAGTGTGTTAATGAAAAAACACCCACTGTTCATTTTATCAAAAATTTAAATTTTTCCATCTCCTAAAACCACATTTCTCATACACTATAAAGGGATCATTACCCTCATGTCTTTTTCAGAGCCTCTTTTCCTATTTTAAAATCTCAGGGCTTATCTTTATCAGTTTTCATTCTCAACCCATCTGCTCATCCCATCTCTAGAAATCCTTCAGTTTTCATTCTCAGTAATAATCTTGTGATATTTTTTTCCTCCTTCATTTCTCTCTTACCCTATTTGAAATAGATAAGAAACTTGCTGACATTTCATTCTTCTTTGAAGAGCAAAGAACAGGAATTTTTGTGAACTTGTTAAATGTCTGACATGTTCAGGTACCTGTACCTTTGATAGTATATGTTAACTACTTGTAGCGTCTGAAATAACTTTGTGTATTCAGTATAAAGCATGTAGGAGTGCTTCCAACAATACAGAAGAATTTTTGAGGACTCAGGTATAAATTCACTCCCTTTTCTCTGGAGTAGTGTGGGTGGTTTGGGGGGCATTCTGTCTTCTCTTCAGATACATAGTTATTTGCATTTCATCCCACACTCTTTAAGGCCCGTCTTTGTGGGCGGTCCCCCACTTAAAATCCAGAGCTTTCTACTTTGCTGTTTCTTGTTAACTGGGAATAGAGTGAATTCTGTTGGTTTTTTAACATCATGTAGGGTCCTGATCTCAGGATGACTCCCTTTTAACAAACCTTAGCAAGCAGCTTCCCAGGGCACCGCCACCTCACATTTGCCCGCAGGCGCACGAGTAGGTGAGGCACAGAGCCCACAGGCTGCACGTAGGATCAACAAAACTGTTTTCATGTTCATTTCTTTTACAATCAGAAGGGAGAAAGTCATTGCAAAAATAATAAATATGTAATCATGAATCCAGCCTTGACTGCATTAGTCCAACACAGTCATAAAATGTAATTTTTATTTTATTTCATTTTGGCAGAGGAAGGGGCACAGGAAGGCAAAAGTGCCTAGGGCCCATGAACGTCATTGTGTTGACTCTTTTCTGGATGGTTTCCACAAAAGTCTAGACCCAGTGATAAAGAGGTAAGTGTAGTGGTAGCAGTTCATAGATGACAATCAAAGTTCATTTTATATTATTTCACGTATCTTATACTGATTTTTCTCCCCGAAAACTATCTTTAACTGTTAAAAAATCACAGAGCTAACTTCTTTTTTATTCAACCTTTATGTTGACACTAAATTTTTCTGATACAATCTTACTGAGATAAAATAATAAATCCAGTTTTAACAAATCTTCAGTATTTGATTCTTTACTGAGATGTTGTTAGCTCCATTTATCAAGAGATGTTCTCTTATGTCATATGAACATCAAGGCTAAGACACTGCTCCATCTTTGAAACGAGCTCTTTTCTCCAAGGTGATAATTGCCAGTTTCAAAATACTTAATCAAAAGCGGAGGGTTTTCATGATTAGCAAAATTAAAAAACTCAGAGCATTAATAAGGTTAATATTTAGAAGAAAGTGCTTCTCTGGGGGTAGAGGGCTCTGACGTATACACTCAGGGCCTCAAATTTAAACTTGTCAACTACATACACTAGTTTTTTAAAAATCCTATAAAGTGAATGTGCTTTTCAAATGAAAAGGCATCAGCAATTTTTTTCAAGGAATTTAGAATAAAATTAAATTGTAATATTTTTTATTGGATTTCAAGTGGCCAGTCTTTCCACTTGAGATCGCCCTGAGAGATACAAAAAGATGAAGACAGGTTCCTTCACTGGAGAATGAACAGTACCCGTGCAGAAGGAGACCACTCAGTCCCATGGTCTGGAGTGCATCCCTGGTTTGCCAGGCAGCACTGAGGCTAAATTAGCCAGAAATTGGGTCTGGTCAATAAAACGTGTGCCTGGTCAGAGGTTTAGACATGCCTGGAGGGAAGCGTAAAAAAAATTCTACAATAGGGGATGGAGGTGCAGGATTCCCACAGAGCGAGGCACCTGATTAGGGCTGCTTCATATATATATTTTTTAATCTCAGGAATATAACTACTTATAGCTGTCTTCCTTATGAAGAAGAAGGCAAGGTTAAACTAGAATGGTGACCAGACTGTTTTAAATTCCATGATGGGAGGGAATATTAACTCTTTCAACCTGACTTACAGCATTTTCTTTAAAGCAAATTAAATTTCTACCTTAAAAAAATTGTTAACGTTTGTCCCTATCTAGCAGAAACCTAATGAGTGAATGCACATACTCTAGCCCTGGTCACATCATAACATGATGTTAATTTTATTGATCACACCAATTTTTTTTCAATTTCTTTGCCAGGCAGAATGTTTAAACGCCAACTTATTTTATTTAAAATAATTGACTGCACTCACTAGCTGCAGACAAAGCCTCAGTCAGCCAGTAGAGCATACCCACCTTCTTAAATTTATCTTTAAGTTCCTTGAATCTTCTAAATCAAGAAGAAACCAAGAAACCTTGAGGTTTTTTTTTCCCTTAGGAACTGATTCTTTTTGGTTTTTAATAGCTCTCTAGCTGTTTTCAAAATTTTTTTTTAACCTCTGTGTGCACAACTAGTTGAAGGACTGTAGTTCACAGTGAGAGAAACTCCCAGAGAATCTGGGTTTGAGTACAGTTCCGGGAGTTGACTAGATTCCCACCACTTTCTCTTCTTAAGAAAGCGATTTAGACTTTCAAGTGAGTGAGAATGACTGTGAGTCAGCTGTAATTTATCAAAAAGAAAATGACTTACTTGTAAGTTTCTATACTTTATTAATAGTAACTACTTACAGGTGACACACTTCTAAGCTGGTGGGGACAAATGCACGAACTAAGTTGTAGAGCTGTGCTAGAAAGTCCTTGGGTTCTTATTTAACCCAAAACGACTCTGCTGCAGCTTTAAAAGGGGACTTCCTTTACTCAGAATTATGAGCAGATTTGTTTATAAGACTCCAAATACTATTTCTGCTTTCTCCTCAGTAAAGTTTCAAAACTCGGTTTCTCTAGATAAGGTGTAGATTGGGAAACAGACACTATGCGATTATTGTTAAGCTTGTTTCATTTTCCTAAGAACATAAATAAAAGCAATTCTCTGTCACCAGGTTGTGAATCACTAGGCAGAAGCTATTTACATGCCAAACTTACTAAACTTACTATAGGTTTTTGGCAATTAACATCTTTTCAGGACCTACATCACCTTTGTTTAAAATCAATATCAGCAGCAAAATTTCATGATTGCGCAGTCCAATTTTTTTAAGTAAAGATTTTTGCTTGTTTGTTTATGAAAGTAGTATAGTTCCATTTTCAGCAACAGGGCAGAAGAGAGAAAGCCTTTAGCTACAAAACCTGCAAATGCCAGAGGACGTGTAATAAATGTTTCCTGAATGCAGAACCAAGATCAGAAGAAAGAAAGGGAGACATTCAGGAGTGAAGGAGTTGAAAACTAAGGTAAATAAGTGCTTTCGCAAGATTTGTAGATTTCCGAGATCTAGAGTTTGGGATTTAAGGGCTGTCTGGGAAAGGAGACACAATCTTAGATCAGGACACTCTAAACTGAATATCTTCTGCATAAAGCTAAAACCCTCAGTGAAAATGTGGCCTAGAAAAATCAAAAAGAAAAAAGAAAAAAGAAAGCTGAGTGAAAGATATAATTAAGAACAGAACTTAGTGATAGGAAAAGAACTGAAAACAGAATTACTAACTGTAAAAGTTGGTTTTCTGAAGATAAAATAGACACACTCCTAGCAGAAAGAAGGAAATAATAAAGATTAGAGCAAAGACAAATAAAATAGAAAATAGAAAAACAGTAGAGATAATCAATGAAACCAAAAGTTGATTCTTTGAAAAGATCCAAAATTGACAAACTTTTAGCTAGATGGACTAAGGGGGGGAAAAAAAGACTCATATTACTAAAACCAGAAATGAAAATGAGGACAATACTACTGATTCTACAAAAATTAAAAAGATTATAAGTGATTACTATGAACAATTATACACTGACGCACTGGATAACCGAGATAAAATGATCAATGTGCCTCCTAGACATGAAAACACTATCAAGACAATCATGAAGAAATAGAAAATCCAAATAGATCTAAAACTTGTAAGGAGATGGAACCAACAAAGAAAAACCCTGGCCCTCATGGCCTTACTGCTGAATTCTACCAAACACTTAAAGAACTAACACCAATCATCAAACTTCCAATAAATTAAGCACTTTCTAACTCATTCTTTTAGGTGAGCATTACCCTGATACCAAACCCAGACAAAGACACTATAAGAAAAGAAAACTACATCCCTTATAACAATATTCCTTATGAAAACTAATGCAAAAATCCTCAACAAAACAGTAGAAAGTTGAATTCAGCAGCATATTGAAAGGATTATACACTATGACCAAGTCAGATTTATTCCTGGAATACAATGATGATTCAGCACACAAAACCCAATCATTGTAACATATCACATGAGCAGAATTAAGGGGGGAAAATGATATGATCATCGCAACTGATGCAGAAAAAGCATTTGACAAAATTCAATAACACTTTCACGATAAAAACAACAAACTAGGAGTAGAAGGAAACTACCTCAATGTAATGAAAGTCATGTATGAAAGTCATGTATGAAATTCAGGTGTGAAAGTCCCACAGCAAATACCACACTC